AGGGATGATCCTTCCTTCCTTCCTTCCTCCCTCCCTCCCTTTCTTCCTTCCTTCCTTCCTTCCTTCCTTCCTTCCTTTCTTCCTTCCTTCCTTCCTTCAATACATTTTTATTGATTTTAGAGGAGAGAGAGAGAGAAATATCAATGATGAGAGAGAATCATTGACCGGCTGGCTACGTCCTGCACACCTCCTACTGGGGATCGAGCATTGCAACCCCAGGCATGTGCCCCGACCGGGAATTGAACCCTGACCTCCTGGTTCGTAGGTTGACGCTCAACCACTGAGCCATGCCGGCCTGGCTCGCCACTCTATTTAAAATGGAAACCCTGCCAGCACTCCTTGGCCACCTCTCCTGGCCTGCCTTCTCGACCTTCTTTTCCTTCGGCATCCTTTGTGCTATCAGTCTTACTCTGTACTGCACTGGAGCTGTTCACTGATTTCCTCTACCTGTTACAGTGGTTCTCAACCTGTGGGTCGCGACCCCTTTGGCAGTCCAAAGACCCTTTCACAGGGGTCGCCTAAGACCATCCTGCATATCAGATATTTACATTACGATTCATCACAGTAGCAACATTACATTTATGAAGTAGCAACGGAAATAATGTTATGGTTGGGTCACAACATGAGGAACTGTATTTAAAGGGCCAGAAGGTTGAGAACCACTGCGTCTAACAGAATACACGCTCCATCACAGCAGAGGTTTCTGACTGCTTTCTCCCCCAGGGTGGAGTCCCGATTCCTTAAAGGAATATTTAGCACACAACACACCAGCAGCGAATAGATACTTGCTAAACAAATTAATTTGGTGCTGTAGCTTCAAAGTAGGAGATGAGTATTTTAGACAAAAAGATCGATTTAGGCTCAGATTCCCATCTGAGACTTTCTCGCTGCTTCTTCATTGCCCACTTGAAAGAGGTAGTCGCTTGGTTACCGGTAATGTGCCAAAAGTGAGGGCTTTGGTCAGTTCCAACGATATCACGATGAGGAGACCGAAGTTGGGTAGCTTCAAAGCAGCTGGTTTATAAACTGTAAAGCACTTAACGCACTAAACCTAGTTCATGTTTTGCAGGACGTCTCTGAAGACCCCAGTTGAAATGGCAACTTTAGTGCATCTGACGATTTTCCAGATCCGTGTGTTATCTGTTAGTCAAGATTCGCTTGCTCCTTCCGTTACTTTTAAATCTTTCGATTCATTGTGTTGGAAACAAAGCCCCCTGGACATCTCCGCTGCAGCGCGACTTAGAGCTATAATTTTACAGACCCTGATTGTTGAATTAGTGAGGACCTCCCCCTGGATGCTGTCATCCACGCAGCCAGGGCCTGTGTCTCTTCTCTCTCAGCCCTTTATCTCCCGCAGCCTCTAGGAGCCTCACACATGGTGCACGTTGATGAATTTGGAATGATTGGTACACAAAGAATGGCCATCGCTCAGTTTATTGTCTAACATGCGTGTGTTTCCCCTGTCAGGGTACAGCCTCACCTGAAGAAATGTTTCGAAGGGATCGCCAGGGTGGAGTTCACGGAGACTTTAGACATCACGCACATGAAGAGCAGCGAGAACGAGGTGGTGGAGCTCATCGAGACCATTTCCACGGTGAAGGCCAGAGGCCAAGTGGAAAAGTGGTTGGTTGAGTTAGAGAGAGTGATGATCAGATCCATCCGAAAGGTAGCTGGCCGCGTTCATTGTTTCTAGTGAAGATGATAGAAGGCGAATGTGTCACTGATAAATGCGCTGTTGGAAACTGAGTCAGGGATTACCACTTTAACTATAATACATCGCTCAAAGACCAAGTGATGGTCTTTTTGATGGTCTGTGACATAATTTAGTAGTGACTCACTTGACAAGTGGGACCAAGTGCCATCCATCCCAGAGAAAACGTGGGTCATAGTCACGAACCTGTCTCACTTCGTACAGCCACACGCTGTGCTTCTGTCATGCACTAACACGCGTGGGTCCACACCGTCTATCTTCACACTTGTCTTAGCAGCCCCGCTCTCCAGCTTCCCATCCATCTCCTGGATGTGTATGTTTCTGTGGTGAACTGTTTTGCTCTCTGTATACACAAAATATGCACCCAAATGGTAGGAAGCCATGGCATGTCCTGCAGTGAATGTGAACTTCATATTTTTCACATCACCTCATAAAGCACATGGTCACTCCGCCATTTGTAATTATTTTCTTAGTGGAGAATTTCAAGCCATGGCCACAAACAGAGATGGGTTGAGCACTTAAACTCACTCTGTACTGTCCCGTGGACTTGGCACGCAGGTTCTCTCTCTTGAGAATAAATATCACGGCCGAGCAGGAGAGCACGGGGGCAAGGATGCAAAGGAAATAAGGCGTTAAGTCCTAACAGCAACGTCCATTACTTTTTCAGGTTCTCTCACATATGATTGGAAAAAGTAATTAGAATCTGCACGTTTAATGGATATCACAAGTCTTAATGCTTCTTTCTCTTCTAAAGCATGGTTTTAATATCTGCCTGCATACAGTTGTCCCAGTAGATGTAAAATCTTTGGGGCAGTTTCCCATTTCTGCCTATTGTAAATTAAATTCTAATGGACATGCTTACACATAGAGCTTTGATTGGATTAGTTATTTGCTCATGATAATGCTCATGTGGGGCACCAGTGGGCCCAAGAGGATGAGCTTGCACAGGCCTTGATAAGTAGTGACAAAGAGCACTCCCATTCTTGTAGCTGTTAGCGATGCAAATGAATTCCACTCGGACCACTACTGAGCAGCATTGCATTGGGGCACATGGCTGGTTAACTGATGTATGCAGTGAAGACTCATTATTTTAGACATATCTGATGCTGTTTCAGCTGTTGTTTTCATTTTGTTTGTCAAAGTGCTTAAAGAAAATATTTCGGTTGCCATTTCAGAGCATTAAAGCTGGGGTAACAAGGAATTGTGTAGGCAGTATCTTCCCCAAATGTTCATGTATAAGTTTCTGTTGGTGAAGTGAGCAGGCAAATGCAGTATAAATGCACATAGGAGATATGTGTGTTACTTTTGTGGTGCTATATATATTTGCATATTTGAAAGACTACTGCATGTCTAAATGAAGTTAATTTTATGTCATTTGTAAATAATTTAAAAAGTCATATTCTTAACACCTTTGCCCCTTTATCATTCTAGATTATCATGCCTTTAATGCAGCTTGCTACCCCCCAAATATACATAATTTATATATGGTATACATATATTTATTTGTATATATGACATACAAAGATATAGTAATATGTTTTACATTAAATACTATAGAACTTTGTGTAGTCCTACTTCTCCTCATCCAATAGATATTTATTCCACTCTTGGTGTATCTCTACTATGCCTTCTTTCCCCCACCTCTCAGTTGCTCATTTTTACCTGCTTTTCTGTGGCTTCCTTGGCCTTTTCAACTCCATAGACATACTAGGTAGACTAGAAATCTAAAACATTTTACCCATTCTTATATATTTCTCGTAAAAATCCAATTTTGAAATCCCCCCCCACACCTCCCTGGAATTCAAACATTAAAGTGGGTATCACCTCACAGACGATGTTACTATTTTTGATTGATCTAACAGATGAAAATGTCACCCACTGATGGCTGGTAGAAGAAGTGGATATATCAGTCCACTGAAAACATATATAGCAAAGCACATGAGGTAGACTTCCTGATTTTATGGCTCTCTACTCTCCACGAATGAATTATGCACTAGTCCCTGTCATCACTGCTGTGGGCCTCACACTATGGAATTGAGAGGGGGCGAAATCTGAAAACACGGGGGGAACTTGAGAGAAATTGTGTGGTTTCCCTGATGGCCAGGTGCACAGATGCACATGGCTGAGTGGGGATCTGATTGGTTCAAAGAAAATCAATACCTATGAATTTGATGGCTCTCATTTGGGAAGTATTTGAATTTATGTTTTACAGTAAAATTGCCTTATGTCTCTTCAATCCAAATGGATCTAGGATATTTTTGGCTATGACTGGTTTACAAAATATTTGACATACGTGCTTCACACAAATTGATCCTGCACCAGCAAAACAAAATGCTATGCAATGTAGTTGTTTTACTCACAGGTATAGGAATTAACTTGAATTTAAAGAGTCTGGTCATGTGCTTTGTGACTTTATATAATTGGCTAAGATGTAAAACATGGAACGGTACGCGCTCATCTGTTGGCGTTTAGCTCTTCATTGGATCGCATATTCAGGTGTGCAACTGTTCACCTTCAGCATTTTTTTCCAATTAGGTCATTAAATCTGCCATCACTGCCTATACACAATATGAGCGGATTAAGTGGGTGAGGGTCTGGCCTGGACAGACGGTGCTCTGTGTGTCCCAGACCTACTGGACAACCGAAGTCCAAGCAGCTATTTCGAAAGGGCAAGAGGTGAGCTTTTCCTACCCCTAGGCTCGTCAGCATTTTTCCAACAATTACTAGAAAGAAACACAATCCACCCAAAAAGCCAAGGTACTGGAGTCTCAGTCTTGTTGTCATATACATTATTGTACCTTTAAAAATAAAGTCACATTAGGACTGAGGAACTTCCGAAACTCAGAAAGGATAATTCTCTTTAATGTCTGGAGTAAAGCTACCCTCTGAAGACCAGGTAGCAGGCTCATTTAGACTATTTTAATCTTTATTTTTCATGCACTGCTTTTGAGTAAATAATGATTAATATTTTGAATGATGCTTGATTTGAAATATTCTAATACATTGGGTCTATAAATTTAGTAACACTATTCATTACTAAACTCATATTTAATACCATTTATGACTAAATTCATATTAGTAATTAATTAGTAGCCCCCTGGACTTCCCTCCTTACTTGCTGGCCCCCAAACCATTCTCTTTATCACTCACCACCACAGGGAAATAGTGTGTGTGGGGGGGTGGAGGGAACAGAGAAGCAAATCAGCCAATTTTACCGGCATCTTCAAGTTATTTTTTTCATTTCAAATGTAGTGTTTATCAACCTCCTCCCCTCTGTCCACCGTGTTTTTTCCGGGCCAACTCCAAAAACGCTGGCACAGGTAGTTGTGGTAGAGCACCATGGTGTTCGCTGTAATCCTTTTATGCTTCTACAAACGCCAAGGGCAATTGGACTCTCAAGGGACAGGTCATGTAGGTCACAACCTTCTCAGTGTGTCCTCTGCTCAAAACGGTCTGCCCTGCCTGTAGTTCTTACCTTGTTGTCTAGAGACATCGCCTTTTGGTTTACAACAATAGTACCCGCTGATGCCGAGATGGAGTTCCTCACACATCTGCTAGTGTATTCACCCGCCCCCCCAAACACACACACACACTCAGGTGCTATGGTGCAGATATGGAGCCGCTCACAGAGCAAGCCATTGTCAGCCTGTGCCTCAGGGTCACTCGCTCCACAGACGTGAGGGCCTCTGACCTCTGACGCGGGAGCTCACAAGACATAGCAAGTCAGCCTGTTGCCATGTCCCTGGCCCGCTCGCCCTCTCCCACTGAGCGCTGTGGTGCCCTCCTGGCTGCCTGGTGGCATGAAATTAACTAAGCTTTACCTGTGCCCTGACAAGCGAACGCTTTCTTTCTCCTCTGCTTGTGCTGGCCCTGGGGGAGGCTGCCCTTCTCCCTCTGCCTGCGGTCTACCTGGGACGCTGGCATATGTCTCAGCATTCTCTGTGCTGGGGACGTCTCCCCTCACTAACGCGGGGTTCACAGTGGGAAGGGAGGACTCTGCTTGAGCAGCTGGAGGCTCTGGGCAGCCTGTGGAGGACTGGGCGCTTCTGTCCTCTGCAAACGCCCGAGCCGTCAGGCGCTTGGGGCCAGCACAGCACCAGGTTGGACCGTCACACTCCCAGAGCCCGTCACACTCCCAGAGCCTGTCACCCCAGCATCTGCTCCCATCGGGTTACTCAGTGAGCGGTGACTGTGGACCTGGTGCCTGTGAGGCGTTCCAGGGGTGAGAACATGAACGAAGGGATCACGGAGTCAGAGCCAGGGGTGTCGCAAATGTGGATGTGGTGTTGAGTCAGGGTATCTTTGTACCCGTAGAAGGACTGAGGCATGATAAAGGTATTTAATTCCAGATAGGGTTTATTTTGGCTGAATACCAGAGCAGTTAACTCCAGATTCATTAGCTCGCTGTGTAGATTGGTTTACAAGGAATACAATGTTAACAAAAATACTCTCACCTGATACCGCTGTGGTGAGAAAAATGGATTATTTGGAAATCACGTCATGATAAAATTGTAGAAAACATTCTATATACATGCAAATTCAGAGTGTTTTTTTAAAAAATAAATAAATTCTGATCCTACTGAGTAATCATCTCTTCTTTTCTTTCAGGCTCTTGAGGAATACTTGGAAAAATGTAACAGTCAAATTGATGATATTGTCACCTTGGTCCGCGGCAAATTGTCCAAGCAGAATCGCGTGACTCTGGGGGCCCTTGTGGTGCTGGATGTTCACGCCAGAGACGTCCTCACGTCCCTGGTGAATAAGAAAGTCAGTGATGAATCTGACTTTGAATGGTTAAGTCAGCTGAGGTACTACTGGCAGGTAAGTGATAGCACTGGATGTTACTACAAAGCCATTTCAGCGCCCAGCTTTGTAATTTGTGCTGCTCGCATGGAAATAGTATCAGCAACATGGGATTTTTTGCTGACAGTTGACTCTACCCAAGCAAGCGTTCTCCAGATTGAAGATTGAGGCAGCCAAAAACTCCATCTAAAACTGTATCTATATCTAATCCAGCTCCCCACAGCCAAGTGTATAGTTACATAGAGATATATAAACACATATAGACACACACAAATTATGAGTAATTATAAAAATGTACTCATTTTAAATGAGTCCTTATGCTTGCTGAATCTGCACAATGTTGAAACTAGTCAGTTGAGAGTTGCATTTATAGATGACTGCAGACATCTATGGAAAATGCAAATCAGGCTGTTTCCGTTGGATTTAGTCCTGAGAACTTTCTCTTGCTCATCAGTTGAAGGAACCAGAAACATCATCTGGGAGGAAGGCTTTCGCCAGGGCACCGGGTGGCTGGTGCTGGCAGCCCCGTTGGGAGGTAGATGAGCAGGGACGCTTAGTACTGGGGAAAAGGTTGGGCCTGTTGAGAGTGGGAAGAGAGAGCTCACACCCAGAGATGCGGACTCTAAAGTTCTCATCAGATTCTGTTCACTTACATGAAAGGCTTGGGTGAAATGGGGTAAGAGGAGAGAAGGTGCACGAACCGGAACCTGGAAAAATAGGTGAGAGGCAGAGTGTATAGTGGTGAGGGGCTCAGACGGTGGCCTCATTGTTTCAGGCCCTCCCCTGACCGGGTGTAGGGCTGGGCAAGTTACCTACTCTCTTTAAGCATCAATTTTCTTATCTGTAAAATGGTGACCGTGAAAATACCCGTGCTACAGTGAAAATTAATTTAATAAATGGTCAAAACTATAGGAGAATAATGAGTGATCAGAAAGAGAAATTGTGAGAACAATCCCGTTCACAGTTGCATCAAAAAGAAGGAAATGCCTTGGAATAAAGTTAACCGAGGAAGTGAAGGACCTGTATACTGAAAACCAGAAGGCACTGATGAAAGGAACTGAAGAACTCATAAACAAATGTAAAGACCTTAATAAAAACAAAATTAAAAGTGTAAGCAACTTAAAGAAAATACAGGAGAGATAAGGAAAATATTTTCCAAAGATATTCTATAGGAAAAATTGAAGCCAATGACTTCAATTACATTGACAAGGAAATAAGATATTGAATTCTTCTACTGAATTAAATAAACTTTAAAGATGTTTATACGCTGGCTATTGCTTATACAAGAGCTGGAGATTTCATGTTATCTGAAATCCTAATATTTGAGCTAACTTTCTTTTACCTGCTCTCTCCTAGGACAATAATTTAGAAACAAAGATGATTAATGCCGGCTTGCGATACGGGTATGAGTACCTGGGCAACTCCCCGCGGCTGGTGATCACTCCGCTCACTGATCGCTGTTACAGGCAAGCTCGTTAACTGCAGGGTCTGTTGGGGATAACTTTCCCTCCTCTCTAGACCACTTCCATCGTACAAAGTACTCAATTATCTTCCGCTCCGTAAACGTATCCTGTGTTGCCTTTTCCTAGACCCTTAATTCTACTCCCAACTTGACCTTCAATGTTTCGTTCTCTGCTGCTTCCTCCTCTCCGGCCAGGAGCTGTAGGTATTGTCGGGTCTGGCTGTGGTTTCTTACGTTGTTCGCATCGCCTATCGGTTCTGGAAACTTTCTGGCTCTTACTTTTGGATCATTTGAGACATCTCATTGCTTCCCCCGAAACACGGAGTTTTCCTCATGGTTTCCGGGGTGTTCTCGTCGGTCATGGCTGGCGGATGCCCAGGTCTGGACCCCCAGCCAAGGTCCCTCCTGTGAACTAGCCTCGCGCATGCCTGCTGGACAGCTCCGTCAGCAGCTCAATCACATGGCTTCTGTCATCCGTCTGCATAACGGAAGGTCTCTCACTACTTAACCTCAAGCTCCCATCGCCCATCTTCCAGATGATCCCAGACCCTGAACTAAATTTTGTTCTTTTTCGTTCAAAAAGTTACCTCGTTCATTGACTAAACCAGTCCCAGGATGCGAGCAGAAAGCCATTTCATTCTTTCTTATCCCTGTTCTTTTTAAACTTTGCTCTATCAAATATTGCTCCCCATTCTCCCTAGATGAAGAAAGCTGGGGGAGATGCCCGCAACCCAGGTATATGCCCTTGACTGGAATCGAACCTGGGACCCTTCAGTCTGCAGGCCGACGCTCTATCCACTGAGCCAAACCGGTTTCGGCTTCCCTGTTCTTTTTAAACTTTGCTCTATCAAATATTGCTCCTCATTCTCCCTAGATGAAGAAAGCTGGGGGAGACTCCCCCATTTTTCTGGTTATTCAAAAATATTGGTGAATAGTGGTTTTCTTTTTGTCAGAGATTGAAGCCCAGTTAGGCCTCATCTCAAAGTTCTTATCTTCTCCAGCCGCTCCAGGCTTGGGGCCTGCATTTGGGAAGGTAAATGTGGGCAACCTTTCGTCACCTTTGCCCCTGTCCTGAGCACCGGTCCCGTGATCGCTGGTCTTTTGGCTCCGCTGCTGCTGGGGGGTGATGGCGGAGGGCGAAGGCAAGGGGCGGGGGTCTATAGTGACACGCGTCTTGTATGACGCTTGGTGTTAGCTCAAGCCCAGATGTGCTGATCTCTCAGAGGGTCTTTATGTGGGTGCCTGGGAGCCCCCTCCCCAGTCCCTGGCTTCTCCTTGCCTTCTCTGCAGGCTGCTGGGACTGTCCTTCAGCCTCTACCTGCGTGTCCCCCTGCCCCCCACGCACACACCCTTTCCGTGGGGTCTTCTCTGACCCGGGTGGGCCTCCTGCACGGGGTCCATGCCGCAGCCACAGTTCTGGATCCTTCCAGCGCCAACTGGATCCGGATTGAGGTCACCAGTGCCCCTGTCCTGCCAGCACTGTGAGTGCATCTCTCACCCTGCGGCCCCCTTTCCCGCTCTGCTGTACCAATGTGCTGCAGGGGCTCCCTGCTTTATTTACTTGTTATTTGTTATTGAATTTATTGGGGTGACATTGGTTAATAATAGGCTTCCAGTGTGCAGTTCAATAATACATCATCTGTATATTGAATTGCGTGCTCACCATTCCAAGTCAAGTCTCATCCTGTCACCATTTATCCCCTCCTACCTCCTCCCATCCCTTTTTCCTTCTGGTAATTATCATACTGTTGTCTGTCTATGAGTTGGTGGGGGCTTTTTTGCTTAATCCCTTCACCTTTTTCATACAGCCCCCAAACTCCCCTCCCCTGACAGCTGCCAGTCTATTCTCTGTATTTATAGGTCTGTTTCTTTTTAGTTTACTTATTTTGTTCATTAGATTC